TGTTCAGTTGCTTTGACACAATCTGTATTGTTAAAAGCGCTATATAAATAAAGGTGACTTGACTTGACTTGACTATTATTTATCATACTTCCAGGTTGTGATTCAGTGGAGCCAGCTGGTCCAAATAAACTGGGTACTGAACCATCTTTCAAGAGCAAACGATTTGTGAATCCCACGTTAAACTTTGCGAGATTAGAGAAGCAGTCATCAGTAAAATGACGGGAACACACACTCAAAAAAAAGATTGGGGTTGTACTGCTGTGAATTTTAACCGCTGATTCTTTGCAACCTCATTTTTGGAAGTGAAATTAAAATAAATGTACTTTCACAGCGTAGGACACAGGGTCTTCTCGACATGATGTTAACCAAACTAACAAGCTAGAAGTGGGATTTGAATTACTGACGACTTGTTTAGGCTGTTCAGAGTCGATTCTTTCTTTTGGGAGACGATAACTTTATTTATCGGGCACTTTCAGCTTTACAACTTTGCAGATCGTTTACATTCACATACAGCTACATTACACACTGCATGAAAGGCAATATTTGAAATGGCATGATAGGGGCACTTTAAAAAGTGATCTTATCTACAGTGTATATATAGAGAGTAGGGCTGCACCCTAATAGTCGACTAATCGTTAGTCGACCAGAAGAGGCTTGGTCGACCAAAATTTTATTAGTCGCAGAAAAAATAATAACAATAATCCACAGGCGAAGTCACGCAGTCCGTGACTAACAGATCATTAACGGCTAGTCTATGGTAACACAGTACATCAGGCAGGACATCCAAACGCTCGCCTATCATTCATCGACCTCAAATATGGCTTATCATCTGAAGTGAGTGATGTCAGAACAAAAGAAAAACACTAGTTTATCAAAATATTAAAATGTTAATGCAGTCTCCGTACTGTTTTTCCCTGACACATTCATAATCATTACTTCTGCGGTGCGCTGTGGCAAGCTTTATGCATGTGCTTGAGCGCTTATTAGGCTATGTAGGCAATTAAAGACTCATAATAATGATTTAAATGGTTTATTAATAAACGTGCGATTAGTCAACTAATGCTTAAAATTAACGACTACTAGTCGACCAGAAAAATCCTTAGTCGAGGACAGCCCTAATAGAGAGAAAGAGAGAGAACTGGATAACCAAATGTCTTTTTATTCCTCAGGTTTGCAGTACAAGACCACATAATTGGAGCCTTCAGGAAGTTTGCCACAAACAGCTGCTGTCATGTGACTTTAATTATCCACCCTCGGAAAGAAGAGGATGATAAAGAACTGCAGACAGCATCCATCTTTGGCACAGCCAAGGTTGGTAGATACAGACTGTGCCCACATGTGTATTCCTTGAGATACAGATTTCTACATGTACATGTTTAGTTTCTATCTATAAGAAAATCTAATGTATCTATCTATAAGAAGTCTAATGTATCATTTCCCCCATATCAGGCCAGTCAGGAGGCAGATAACGTGCTCATCCTTCAGGAGAAGAAGTTGGTGACGTGTCCAGGCCGTAGGTCCCTTCAGGTGTCCAAGAACCGCTTTGATGGGGACGTGGGGATCTTTCCTTTAGAATTTAATAAAGCCTCGCTTACCTTCTCTGCGCCTGTGAAGGGAAAACAGAAGCTTCGAAAGGTGAAAGTGGACAAGAATATCAGCACAGAGGAAATAGAGGAGACTGAACTCAAAGAAAAACGTGAGAAAGCTCTCAAGCCTGCCAAGGCAAAGACAGTTAAGGGGTCAGCAGCATTAAAAGATACAACAGATGGAGAAGGAAATAATCAGTAGCTCAGGGAATTCATTATTTGCATGAATTCAAATAAAATGATTAATACATAAAAATGTAACGTTATGGTGTTTGCTGCATTTTTGCTACTGAGTAAATGAATGAATGTTCATGTTAAGTGTTTTTAGATTTTTTTGTAGGGAGTTGTATGCAATGTTTTGTACATCCACTTATGTTTTATATTCACTTAAATGCAACAAATATGAACAAGTATTTGATGATTTAAAGAAGGTTTAAATACAGGACTTTAAAGCTGCATTTGAACAGATGCCATACATTTCATGGATTATGTGCAAAAATTACATGTGATCTGTTTCCGTTTTATTGTCATTATTACTGTTGGAGAAAAGTGTCAAATAAGCTATTTAAAGGAGGCTGTGAAAACTGTTAATAAAATGTTTTGTAGGATTTGTATCTTCTGCTTACCTATGTTGTGTATATTTAGATTTCTGACAGTTTAATTTATTTTATGTTTTGAAACTGCTGAAATAGTCTGCTTTAATATACTTTTGTTGAACGAATGGTAATTTAATACACTTCAACCCTGATCACACACAGCATGGAAATTAAGTCAACAGATTCAAATAATTTATTCTAGCACTTCCAATTTACACTGGGTTTGTATTTCCCACCAGCTTGTTAGATGCAGTTTAGCTACCCAAAACAGTTATAAATATGTGTGTGTTCAGGAAAGTACAGAAAATCACCTGACTAAAACGCAGTAATTATCTAACAATAAGGACTATTAATATATAAGTATAGTATTTTAAGTGTTGTATGTATAGTAAATAAGTAATTTATTAATGAACTTTAGTGACAATACAATTATGTCAAAATATAATATGAAAGTGTAATACAATAAAACTAAAATTAAATGTTTTATTTGTAAATGCATGTTTTGAAAATATTAAAATGGAGCTTTCCTAATATACTGATGCTTTAAAATAACGCTCTCAGACAATATACTTTTTCGGACAATGTTTTTTTTTAATAAAATATATAACCTAAAATATTTTATTTAATTTCTGGTTTGCCGGTTGTTGTTGTTGGGTTTTTTTTGTATGTCTATTAACTTTATAATAATTCGATCTGTAAAACGAGTTTTTAATGACGTTTCATTGATGTTTGCGTTTTTGATAGTTACTAGGTTTGAGCAGGATCTTGATCTTGACACACTGCAGCGTGATGAGAAACGTGTCATATGACTTATTGCACCAATCAGGAACCTTGTATATGTAGGAAGTATCCGAGCCTGAATTGCTGGTTTCTGTTCCTTTACATAAACTCCGTGGATTAAAGAAAATGTATTCAACTTTTTTTTCATTCATCGCTATAAATGATTTGCTCGGTAATGTAAGCTGCATGGCCTCAGCTTTTGGAAATCTGATGAACACTTATATTAATTAAGCTTTTAATATATATTTTTTTTTTGGTGAAGTAACTGCAAAATTGCGCCACAATGGCCA